CAGCAGAGCATGAAGCCACTGGATACACTCCAGCAAAGTTGATGTTTGGTCGCCAGTGGATCTGATAACAGGATGCCCACCTTTTTAAGAGGTGCCTGAGAATGAGTCAGAGTTTGTGTAAGTGTTATTGAAAAAAATGGATGATATTCACCATCAAGTGCGTTCAAACTTGAAAACGTCTGCTGATTCGATGAAGTTAACTTATGATAAGAGATCTACTGAAGTCAGCTTTGAACCAGGAGACAAGGTGTGATTGTATAATCCCAGAAAGAACAAAGGGAAGTCTCCTAAGTTGTCTTCTCCATGGGAAGGCCCATATGACGTAGTGGATCGTCTCTCAGACGTGACTTTCCGGATAAAATGTGGTCGGCGAGGTAAGCCAAAAGTGGCGCATGCCAACAGGCTTTGGCGTTATCACGGTCCAGTACATTTCAGTTGGGACGAAGTGAACAAAGGAATAAATGATGCTGCTGAAGACGTGCCACCTGAAGAAGCCAACGTCGAAGAAGAAACTCTACTCAGTTTTGAGAAGGGAAACGATGAAGCTCTTGATGAAATTACTACACTGATGTGGCTGTTACCGACGATAGGACATTTCCTGATGAAGCAGATGAACCCCACGTGAAGCAGAAGCCAACGAGATGGAGACCAGTAGGGAAGAAGATACGTCCCGTAAAATTAAGAGACTTTGTTGAATTGTAATTTTGTGTTTGTAATTCTGTACATTTAATTAAGTTATTGTTAATTGTTATTGGTTTAATGTAAGTGGCTATTGTTTGGGATGAACAATACTAAGGAAGGGGCAGTACTACGACATCGAGGTCACGTGACTAGTATCACGCCACGTCGTTCTCGAACATTCACGTCTTTTCCTTAAATCTCGTGATCTTTCTAGATATAGTGTAGTCTTGTATATATAAGACCAGCCACGAAGCGACGGGGAGGTAATGAGTGTGTAATTGAACTGAGTATTGTCGAGCACAAGCACGTGAGACGTTCTTTGAAAATAATAGCGTTTGTTATAGAGCGACTGTTGAAATTAAGTGTATCGGTAAAGTTGTATTCGGAAAGAATAAACCAGTTTTATTTAAGAAAGGACTTGTGTCGCTAAAGTTTCGTTGGAATGAATTTACGGAAAATTAATTAACGAACGAACGGAGACGTAACATAGCCAATGAGAGGGAGTAAGAAGGAAACCTTATGTGCAGCACATTTTGAAAAGGACAATTTTCCTATTACTTGATTGTTAGGGTGAATGCGGGCTCTCCTGTCGTACAGAGAGTGTCGGTATCAAGCCAAATTTCATTTGAGAAATTAGTGATGAGACTAAAGAAGTATTGGAAGTTTGAAGGACTTTCTTTGCAGCTAAATACACAGCCGCACATTTTGAAAGAGCGAAAAATTTTGTAAAGAACAATTTTCCTACTACTCGATTGGTAGGGGTGGGGTTCTTTTGTGGGTACGGGATCACTACAATTTTAAACGATTTTGTATAGGCGGTACCAAACTATTGTTATTGAATTTATAGAAAATAGAAACATTCTATGAGGGAGGTTTAAGTTATATACTCAGCCGTAGATTAAACTTGTAAACTGTCGTACAAAAATGAATAAATAAACGGGCGATTTCACAAAGCGAAGTTATATTATAAATTGTCACGTACATTTAATAAATCAACAAGTATGTTGCTAAGCTAACTAATTAATTTACAAATACTCGTCCCCCTCTGGTACAGGGGTAATCGTACTGTTTTACAACGCTAAAATCAGGAGTTCGATTCTCCTCGGTGGACACAGCAGATAGCCCGATGTAGCTTTGCTATAAGTAAATACAAATACTAGGAACGGTTATAAACTGACAAGCAGCTTTAATATTTTCCTGGAAATAGAAGAGAAAGGACTATGAAATATATATAAATTACACATGAAATGTGGCTTCAATGCAAACATTTTAACTGAAATTGCAAAGTTACACTTGGTGCCTCATAATCGGTGGTAGATTGTATAAATTTACATACAATTGTGTCCAATTTACATCATTCTTGCAACGGTCAAAGTTATACTACTTTATGAAATATATATATATATCCACCTAACGATAAACGTTTGAACTGCAAAGGTAGGTCTTGAGCTTGTAGACCACGAAGGATGTGGGTCTGGTAAAAACAGTATTTTATTGTTAAGTTAGTTTTAAAATCACCAAAAATACATAAAGGTATATCAGAACAATTAAAAATGTGATTAAAAAATAATTATCATTATTTTTATTACTGTAAAATAAATGTATGACTTTAGCGATGTTATTAAAACTTAAAAGTTGAATTATTAAATAATATTAACGTTTGTAGTCTGAGTTAGTAATACTCACTAATAGTATAATATTAATAATGGAAAGTATGTTGTAGGTCAAACCACCGAAGGCAACAAGGAGTTAACTACACACATATATATATATATATATATATTAATACATATACTACTGTAATTTTCTACACAGTTTAGTAATGTACAACTACTAGCACTACTGGTTCTGGTACTCAGTGATACTGATAATGTTATATACTTAAGCAATTTAGTAATACTAATAGTATTTGATTGAGGAACTGTGAGGACTTAACGACATAAGTTTACAAATTCTCCAATATTGTTTTGCAAGCAGTTTGTATAATGAATTAAACAATCGAAGTATTATCATGAGCTATTAGATGATATGTTGTTTACTTGTGATGTAATTTCTACAGAATTATAATTAATTGTAGCTCATTAGTTGTCAAAATACTTGGCCCCCCCAGTGGCACAGCAGTTTCTCTATGGACTTGTACTGCTAGAAACCGGTTTCGATACCCGTGGTGGGCAGAGCACAAATAGCCCTTTGTTTAGTTTTGCGCTTAGTAACAAACAACACCAACAAAATACTCAATCTTTCATTTTTATATTGAGTTTTCTAGAAATGTGTACATATTGATTTTGACAGGTACTGAGAGTGTTGCAGTAGTAACTGTCAACAAAATACTGTTTGCAGTTGGAAGTTTGTTTGTTAAAGTTTTATATATTCATTCAGAGAAAATACATGAAAGTGACCACAACTAATATTTCAGTATTTGACTGTGTTGTAAAGGTTATGTTTCTTCAAAATTATTTCAAAGAGTAATCTCACTTTATAAGATTATTAAGAGCATACACCAAATTAGACAGCAAGGTCTTTAAGTACTTAGCAAGCACAAGTGTGTCACAAGTTTTTAGTATGTGAATCATATACAGTTTTAAGAATAGTAATAAAAACACAATTTCAAAGTCTTCATCAAAGTATGCATTTCACAAATTAACCTCCCACCTCATCAGTAAGCTTGTGGGATTCAAATACTAAAAATCAAGTTTTCATGCACATGGTGGACATGGCACAGATAGCTTATTGTGTAGCTTTGTTTTTAACATAAATAACTTCATTATTTATTTAAAACACATTGAGTCTTGCATGGTTAAAGCATTCAACTCACAGTCACGAGTTTGAATCCCAACACTGAATGTGCTCACTCTTTCAGCTGTGGGGGTGTTATAATGTGATGGCAATCCCACTGTTTCATTGGTTGACTAGCTGCCTTCTCTCAAGCTTATCATTTCAAAATTAGGGATGGCTAGTACAGATATCCCTCGAATAGCTTTGTATGAAATTCAAACACAAACAAAACACTGATAAATTTTATAATGAAATTCTAAGTTTTGTGTGCTCTAGAAAAGAAATATGTACAATAAATAGTTGCCTCAAATTTATTTATTTGGGTTTTTTAACATTATCAGTTAAAATCATTTTGTTTTGTCAGTTAAAACCTTAAATTTACTTCAAATTTTGTTTTAAGAATAATTAATGTCTGAGTAATCTTCATCAGACAGGTTTCAATAAAAACTGCATCATCTCATCTTATCTTTAGAGGTCATTGATCCCTTGAAAAATTTGAGAGGTTGGTACTAATATATGATCATGAAATCAGTAATTGTATCTTTGTTATTAAAAATTCTACAGTTACATTTTTTTTAATGTAAATTTAAAAATGCACTTGCTACACCAAAAAAATATTTTACAGTAGTGATATGGTAGCAAGCACAGCTAGATTGTGTAAATGTTTTTAGTCATTTTATGGAGATTGTTTGAGGTTGTGCAGCTGTGTTATCAAAAAAATGCTCACATTCTTCTTTCATTGTTTGTTATGAAAACTGTTTAAACATTGGTTAACATAAATGACCATGTCTTTTTCATTTCCCTTTAGCCAAAAATGGACTATGACTTCAAAATGAAGGCTATTGCTGAGCGAACAAAAGTTGAAGATTTATTTGAATATGAAGGTTGTAAAGTAGGCAGAGGAACTTATGGCCATGTGTACAAAGCTCGTCGAAGCACTAAGTGAGTGCTTTAAAAATAGAATATATGCAGACTGTGTATGTCCTAAGAAATTTGGTTCAGAATTATATAAATTACAATTTAAATAAAAACATTTCATTTCTAAAATTTTTGTTTGTGTACATCTTTTTTTTTGTAATCAAATGAACTGTGTTCTGTTTTTTCACCCGTAATACTAATTAATTCTCAAGTATGTCTAAGTTGTATTGAAAATTTCTTTTAACAGTTTGAATATAAGTAAGAAACTTTTATGGAAACCCATGTAAATGAAATGTGAACGATTTTCACATGACATTTGAGTTTTATGCATTTATAATTATCTTTTTGTCTAACCAGCAGATGTAGGATTTCACTAACATATTGATTTTTCTGTTTTCTCTGATAAGTTTTCACAGCTTAACCAATTGACTAGAAAGTAGTATAGCACTTCTTATTCATCACAAACATAATTTATAGTTTCTTCGAATTTTTGAGTGAAAAAGGGTATTTTTTTTTTTTTCTCAATAGAACTTGTGTATACTAAATGTGTTTATTTTTAGGTCAGATCCCAAAGATTATGCCTTAAAACAAATAGAAGGAACTGGAATTTCAATGTCTGCTTGTAGAGAAATTGCAGTAAGTAATGAACTTTCTAAATAACTGATAAGTTTACTAAGAAATAATATTTCCAAGATGATACCACACCTTAAGCTATCTTCTAGATGCATCTGCTTTAGAGATTACATTCCTTTAGTGAACTCTCACCTAATCTCGGTAGATTTATTTCTTGTGAACTGTGCTACTGCATAATAATATCATTATGCAGCAAAAGCCTTCCTCCAGTAGGAGGTTGACGTATCTAGTGAATTAACTCCCTCTATGCATGTGTACTCAAATATTCATTCATTTTCTCACCACTGAACACATCAGATGTGTTTTTATTTTTGAAGTTAATGAGATTTGCAATGTTTAAGGACCTTAATTTCTTTCTTAGTTTCTACAAACTATGAACACACTAGTTCATTTAACATTTACTACTACTTGTGTGAGTGAAGAATTTCCCTACATGGTCATTTTTCAACTATGGCTTCTGTAGATGTGTTGACTAAGGATGAAGTGCTGGACATTGTGCATAGGGTAGTAGGTTCCCTTATGCAGCCAGGACCTTTTGCTCTCATCCATTCTTCAGGCATTTCTTCCCCTCGTTTTGAGGGAGAGAATGGGGAGGATGAATTTGATCACTTGTTTCCTCTTCCTGGTTATGCTTTGGGAATTCTTCTCCTTGTTGAAGAGAATCATCAAATTTCTTCGCATTATCAGAACTTAATATCACAGGTGTGTGTACCATTCTTTTTGTTTCCCCTGCATCATATGACTCTTCTCATTTCGTCCTTCATAGCCCTAATCCTAATGACTTTTTCATTTTCTCTCCTTCTCCTGATATTGGCATTCATGCTAATTCTTACCTTGACTAACTATGTTCTTCCCCATAACCTCATGACTTACCCTCTTCGTCTGTCTGGCCTACAGTCATTTGGAATTCCCCTTTTTTGATTCCCAAAATTTGGAATCTCTTGCCTACTTGGGGGAGTGGACTTTTTGGCATTGGTTTCACTCTCATGTCTGAGGTACTCCACTGTACTTCAAAAGATTTTATAGGTAATTTTGTTCCCTTCTCTTCTCTACTATAGCCTGTTCCACTTCTGTCCTCTCCCCGCTCACTTGGTTCATTTGTTGCTGGGATTTTTTTGGTAGGGATACTCTCCTTTTCCAGGTTTGACTTCCTTCTTCCTTTTTACAAGATCTTTGCGTATCCCCCTTTCTTTGCCTTGAAGTTTTTGGGAGTATTTCTGATTCTGTTGAATCTTAGGTGGAGGCTGTCCATCAACTACCTTTGCTGTTGTCCTTAGTTTCCAAACCCAACCCTCCACCTCTGTAACTTGTCCTAGTCTCTGTGTTTCCAACCTTTCTATTCCCACATCCCAGTCATCTTGTTCTATCTGTCTGACATCAACCTGGTGTCAGAATCCTTGAGTTCATTGGTGTCAAGTCAGGTTAGGCCTCTTGGGGGCTAGTCTGTAATGGTTTGCATACCTGTGGGCATGCTTTTCCGTAGACAGATGGTTTACTCTAGTTCTTACCCATGAACTTTCTCTCCAATTCCTTTGCCTTCTTCCTCTCATCCATTTCTTTTCCTCTTTCATCAGATCCCATTTATGTACATTGTTTGGAGAAGGCAATGTTGGATTTTTTGGACAAACTTGCCATAGAGAGATACAACTCTCTGGGGTTTTACTCTTTCTCTTTTTGGTCCCCCAAAAGACTGGGGACTGCATCCATTTATAGACTTTTCCTTACTCAGTTGTTTCCTAGTCACACCACATTTGTATATGGAATATTTCTTTTCTCTCTGTTGGGCTTTTTCTCCTGGACTGTGGATAACCAAGGTCAATGTTTCAGACGTGTTCCTGTACATCACCATTGCAGTGTCCTCATGACATTTCCCATGTTTCATTCATTAGGGTCATATCTTCCAGTTTAGAGCTCTTCCATTTGGCATTGTGTTGGCCCCTTATGGCTTCAAGTGCATGATCAGGGCCTAAGCTCATCATCTGCATGGACTAGGACTGTGAATCCATTTCTAGATGGACGATTGGCTTCTCCTGTTCCACTCCTTCCCTTCATACCTACCTTATTCTGTGGAAAGCCACCCGTTATGGGTGGCTTGTCAATACTTCCAAATCTTCCCTCACTACCACACAATATCTTGTTCGCCTGGGAGTTTTCTTCAACTCCTTTACCAGCCGTCCTCATCCTTCCATCTGCCTGCAAATTATGGAATTACTAGTCACCTTTCTTACTCATACTGTGTAAGAGGTTCTATCATTTTTGGGCTTCATTGGAACCACTTATCTCTTTGGTCTGTTCACATATGTGCCTTCTCCTTTCGCCTCAATGGTTCACCTATCCCCACTTCTACTCGAGGATCTGACTTGGTTGCTGGACTGATCCAATACCACCTTCAGTGTTCCATTACCTCCACCCATACTGAACCTACACCTCTTCACCAATGTTTCCCTCTTTGGTCGGGCAAATTCTAAAGTAAATGGTTTCTTTGCTTACAAAGATATATAGTTTAACACGATTATAAAAATTAATGTTCCTGAGAACAAAACACAACATTACGCTTTCTAAGAACAAAAGACAATGTACTTGAACATCAGAAGGAAGAATGGTACAAAAGTGTTCTTGCATAGGAGATAGGGATTCTTTCTAAAAGCAAAACTCTGGTTGTTTGAACAAATAATTAAAATAGCAAGTCTTTGTTTTTCAAGCCCAGATTAATGTTTATGAATTATGCTTAGAGAGGCAATGTCATGTGTCAGTCGATATTTGTTCAGCTACTGAATTTGATCTCTTTAATGAATAATTTATGGATTGAATAACAAATAAATCACCTGCTTCTCTTGCCAACAGTTGATAGGCACTGCTTTTCTTTGCAGTATAACATTAAATCACCACTGTGACCTATTATTGGTTGCCTACAATATCCATCAACTTCACTCTGAAATCTTGCCAAAAGTGAAGATTTGCTCATTTTGCTGCTTTGTGAAACTCTTATTTGTGGCATGCATTTCTTTGAACAGTCTATCTAAAAGGCTTCCTTTCTCAGTTTCTGATTGATATTTTTAGTACCAGAGCCTATACCTGATTGTTTTTCTTCTTTTTTCAATTTCTTGGTGAATTCTGTCATTAGATAATTATTCGTAAACAAGTTCTTTCATAAACTGTTTTACTTTTCTAGACTAGGATTCAGAAAACAAAACAAGCTTGAATCTTGGATCAATGAATGTTACTGCCAGGAGATAGCCTTTAGAGAGATCAAATCTCTTGTTCAATTGATTTAAAAGCTCATCAAAAATGATTTTGTATGAGATAATGATGTTTCTCATAGTTTGTCCTTGAGAACAGAAATGCAGGATACAATAAGACTGATATTGACAACCAATTCTGTGCTGAGGATTGTTTTTGCCTCTGCTGTTGTCCTGAGGACTAGGAGAGTAGCTTCTAGAATTTCCTCCAATGATTGTGGATAAGGGAGGAACTGTGGCACAATTCCATTTCCTGTGACATTCAACAAGAGATTGCAACGTTATTCCTGTACACCCACTCAAGTAGATTATATGTGCTTTTGAAGCATGTGATGACATTGAGTGGAGGCATTGACTAACCTAAACCTTGATCTACTTCATGGTTTCTTAGTGTGCCCTGATGAACAGTTGAAGAATGGAAGAAAGAGGTGATTCTATGTACAAAGTGGATGAGCTTCTTTATCATTCTTTGAGCATCCAGGACTGCATTATTGAAAGCTGCAGAAGATGAACCTTGCCATTAAATACTAAGATTTTGAACAATGCAAGGGACTGTGTTTGTTGTATCTGTAATAGCAAAGAATTTTAGGTAGCTGATTTCTTCAGTTGTCGCTGACTAGCATTTGAATTATCAAGGTTGACAACTAACAAGCACTGAGATTGTAGGGCTCAATCTCACTCAGACATATAGCTTATTATGAGAACCAAGTAATTGTGATGAAATGTCAAGAGTCTTCACCCACAATAAATTGCAGCACTGCTTTGTCATATTTTTTCTTTTTTGCAATATCAAGTGATTTTTTTTCATAAAATGTGTGATATTGATTTGTTTTTTCTTAGTAACTTCTTCTGAAGCTAAAGACTGCTTGCTTCTGTGCATCTTTTTCTTTAGCTTCTAATGACAGCCTCAAGCACATTGATACCATCAAACATAATAACAAAGCATATTGACACAATCATTTATTTACACCTGAAAATGCAATCACACCAAATAGAAAAGCCTACTAAAACAATAAAATTAAAGTACAAAGGCAAACCTTACTGCCAAATAACTCAATTTTCTTTCATAAACTAACAATATAATTAAGCCTAGGAACACAATCACACCTATTCTTATATCTATTACTGGACAGAATTAACCATACAGTACATACAGACTCAACATGAAGTACCAAAATTAAACTTAACTAGCCTACATAAACATTAAACAAGTATTAAACCAAAACGAAACCTGACAGTACTACCAAATTCACCTGTATATAATCCATTTCAATGAAATTACACCATTGGCCCTCACCTTATCCCATCTTCACAAAGACGTTTGTTTGGTTGAAGAGTGAAGGGCTATGCAAGTGTGTAGTCTCACTTCCTGGATTTATGTTTGTTTATGTTGTGGTGATAATCATGGCAGATAGAATGCCTCACGAGTCATGGAACATATGACAAGTCCAGAGAGGGGGCAGAGTTTCAGCAAAACTGTGTCTAGGAGATTTTTTTTTATCAATTATGCTGCAAAGCAAATATATACCATGACTTTAGCCATTACAAAATTTTGCAAGATCATAAGATACTAATTTTTTGTGAACATAGCTTCATGCTCAAGTCTTGTGCAATGCTGTGAAGTTGTTTACCAGAAGTGATGTAGATTTGAAAACATCAAATCAGAGCTCCAGCTAATGAATCAAATCCTCAATCTTGATTCACAATCAAATCTTGAAGCTTTGCAGATTCTTACTTTTCCATAAAATTTTGCCTTTCTCAGTA